ATCCTGCCTCAGACACTTAGTAACTGTGTGACTCTGGGTAAGTGATTTAACCACGTTTGCCACACTTTCTTTATCTGTAAAATGGGGATGATAATAGTACCTGCTTCCCAGGGTCATTAGGATCACATGAGATATGTACAAAGTGTTTTGTAAACCTGAATGCTACCTACTACTACTATTAGTGCTGCTACTACTACCACCACCACAACTACCACTACTACTACTGTTATTACTAACCCCAGATCCAGTCCTCAGTCGTTTAGGCCATGCTACCTTATCCATACTTGGACTTTAGGAATCCTGTGCCACTATCTTGTCCTAACCCTGAGGACTACAGGAATATAAATTTCTGGTGCTGTTTTCAAGGGGAGAGGAGATGGGTGGATAGGCATAGGAAATTTCTCTCCTAGGAGTGAAGGAGACTTAAGGATACTGCTTCCTCTGCCAAACTAATATTGCTCACAGAAAAAGCTAAAGCAAACAAAGAGAAATTATTACACCAGTATACAGGAATAGATTTTTTTTTCCCTTCAGTCTTACTTTGACATTCTCTCTGCCCATTCTCCTTTCTGTGTTTTTATAAAATCATGATAGTATGAAAAGAAGTTGTTCACAAAGTCTCAGAATCCTAGAACTAGGGGACATCTTGAAAACTTGAAAAGAATAAATGTGGAAGAAATGTTTTAAAGTGCTAGTTTATACTGGTAGCAATAGAGAACTTGTTATTCCAAGAGGTAGTACTCACTATGTATATAACTTTGGATGAATCATTTCACCTTTCAAAACCTCAGTTTCCTCATCTGTAAAGGACTAGACTAGACTACCCTGTTATTCTGTTGTTCAAAAATATGGGGTTAAGTTAGTTTAAATAAATTCATCATAGTTGATGGTTTCATATCTAAATCTTAGCAACTCTGGCTAAATTGTGAAGCAGCTATAGATAAAGAATCATTGTCTGAGCTGTTACCTTCATTACAGAATTTAATTCATTTAACACCTATTTTTCCATGTCTCCCTCTTTTATTTTTTTATTTGGCCACATCCATTTTGTTTTCAGTTTGTCTGAAAGAGACTGGAGGTTTTATTGGACTTCAAATTAAATATGAGTCAACAATGTGATGTCGGCCAAAACCACTAATATAAACTTAGACTATATTGAGAAAGGCTTAGTGTACAAGACGAGGGAGGGTGATAATCCCACCATATTGTACTCTAGTCAGACCACAGCTGGGCACTGTATTTTAGGAACAACATTGATATGCAGGAGAGCATCTAACATATGGGAACTAGAATGGGGAAGGGCCTCAAATTAATGACATGAGGATCAGTTGGTGTTGCATCCCTCAGAGAGTCAGTTTCCTTATGTGTAAACTTTACAGAGTTGTTGCAAGGAAAGCATTTTGTATACCTTAAAATATAATACTTATTATTAATAAGTACTATTATTAATAGTAATAAACCTTAGAAAACCCCCTTCCCCAAAAGAAGAGGCTTAGAGGGAATGTGATAGCTATTTGCAAGTATTTGCTGGACTGTCGTATGAAAAAGGGATTTGACTTGTTCTGCTTGGCACCAGAGGTCATGACTGAGAAGAATAAATAGAAATTACAGAGAGGCAAACAGGCTTAACATAAGAAAAAAGTTTCCTAAAATTAAGAACTGTCCAAAAATAAAATGTGTCATCTCAGGGGGTAATGGGTCCCCCTCATCAGAGGTCTTAAACCAAAATTAAATGACCACTCACTGGGTACGGGATGGTTCAGAATAGGTTGGACTCCATGACCCTCGAGGTCCCTTCCAGTGCTGAGATCCTGTAATTCTGTACATGCCTCATACATCCCAAGCATTGTGCTAATAAGCATGAGCTTAGGGTGGAAAGATAACAATCCTCTCAAGGAACTGAGATGCTTCTGGGATATCATAGCATGTGTCAAGAAACAGCTGTGTCCTATCACCAAAAGAATTCTGGATTTAGAGTTAGATCAAGAACATGGGGGGTAGGGGGAGAGGCTGGGCAGCTAGGTGGTACGGTGGTTAGAGTACCAGCCCTGGAGTCAGGAGGACCTGAGTTCAAATCCAGCCTCAGACACATTAACACTTACTAGCGTGTGACTCTGGGCAAGTCACTTAACCCCAATTGCTTCACGCCCCCCCCCCCAAAAAAAGAATATTGGTTCATATCTTAGCTCTGACACTTACTACCTGTGAGACCTTTGGCAAATTGTTTAACCTCCTTGGGCTTCAGTTTCTTCATTTGTAAAATGAGGGGATTGGATAAAATTACCCCTAGGGAACCTTTCACCTCTAAATCTAGGAGCATATAATTCTGTGATCCTGAGTAAATACAAGATAATTTGATGAGTTAGAAAGCACTAGTGTGGGGTGAGGATAGAAATGAATGAGACTTGTCAGCTGACTGGATATGGCATGTAAGGAACATGGAGGAGTCAAGTATGAGTCAAAGGTTGGGATTAGGAAAACCTGGGTAACTGAAAGGATGACCGGGCCCCCAGCAGACACAGGAAAGTCTGGAGGGGGGTGATTTGTCAGGGGGCAGAAGTGGGTAACAGATAACGATTCAGTTTGTGATAACTGAGAGCCATCCAGGTGGAGATATCCAGAAGGCAACTGGTAATGCAGGACAGGATTCAGGAGAGATTAGGGCTGGAAATATAGATACAGGAGCCCTCTGAATAGGGATAATTGAATGGTGACCTGTTACCTCCAAGATTAAATGCAATCTTTTCTCTTTGGCATTTAAAACCTTGTCCAGAATGGCTCCAACTTGCCTTTCTTGGCTTATTAAATCCTACTTTCCACAGTCTGTGATCCAGACTGGCCTACTCTTTCTTGTACATGGCATCCCATCTCCCACCTCCAGGTGGTGATTGCACTGGCTGTTCCCTGTGCCTGGAATGCATTCCCCTGTCTCTTGGAATTCCTGCTTACCTCAAATTTCAGCTCAGGTCTCACCGCCATGAAACCTTTCCTGACCTTCTTTCCCCTCCCCCCCACCAGCCACTAATGGCTCCCTACAAATTCTTTTATATTTACTTTGTTTTTTGTTTTGCATGAACTTATATATGTATATATTGTGTTCCCCCAATGGAATGTAAGGTCCTAGAGGTCAGGAACTATTTGACATTTGTTTTTTTATCCCCATTGTCCAGCATAATACCTGGCTGATGTAAGGGTTTAATAAATGCTTCCTGATTCACTGCTTGAATAAGAATTAAATTGCTTAGAAATTAAAATCGTTCAGTCTTGGCTCCAAGACACCGACACCGACACCGACACTGTCCGACACCGTCCCCTACCTCTTTGTAGAAGAGGGGGATCATGGATGGATGTTGATGACCTCTTCTCAGGGTTGTTATGAGTATTGAACTGAGATCATTTATATGTGTAAAGTGCTTTACAAACATTATAGCTATATAAATGCTAGCTGCTGTTGTTATTATGACATCAGAATTTTTTTCTTTATTATAAGATTACTGTTTGAGAGGAGAGAGAGCATATGGGGCAAATGGAGGGAACAAAAAGATATCCTTAAAAATGTATTTTTAAAAAATTAACATGGCTTCATTGGGAGGCAGTCATGCCAGATTAATTTGATTTCCTTTTTTAAATAAGTGTGCAATAAGCATTAAGCCCGTATTATAAACTAGACGCCAAGAATACAAGACAAAAATGAAACAGCCTGTACCTTCAAAAGAGCTTAGAGTTTACTAGGGTGGGGGGGGTGGAAAGGAAGCCACAGGTACACAGCTGAGGAATTACAAAATACATACAAAGTGATTTGGTAGAGGCAGCATTGTCTTCTGGAAGAGTTGGCACTTGAGCTGAGCTTTGTATGAAGTTTAGCATTCTCAGAGGCAGAGTTGTGAAATGTCGGTATGGAAAGCCAGTTTTGCTGGAACCTAGGACATTTGAAGAGAAGTCGTGTGAAATGAAGTCTGGAAAAATAAGTTTGGAGTAATTTAAAATTAGATTGTGAAGGGTTTTAAATACCAAAGGAGTGTTTGTGTTTGATCCTGGAGGCTATAGGGAATCAATGAGGCTTCTCAAGCAGGGGAGTGACATGATCTGACTTGTACTTCACGAGTGTCACCTTGATAGCCATGTGGAGGATGATTTTAGGAAAGGGGAAAGATTGGAAATAGGATAGGTCTGAGTGAGAGGTGGTGAAGACCCCAAACTAGAGTGGTAGTTCTGTGAGTGGAAGGAACGAGTTCAGGTAAAAGGTTTTATGGAGGTTGAATTCCAAAAAATTTGCAAACTGATTGGATATGGGTTGTGAAAGGGACTAAAGGGATGTGAGGTTGATTTGAAAGCTACAAACCTGGGTGACACTAAGGATGATAGCACCCTTACCAGACATAGGAAAGCCACGATGGGGAGCAGATTTGAGGGGAAAGATGAGTTCTGTGGATTTTGAGATGCCTGCAGGACGTCCAGCAAAACTTGATAAAATGGGGTTGGTATTTAGGAAGGCATATTGGATATATAGATCTGAAAGTCATCTGCATAAGAATTGATGAGTTCACTAAGAAAGAGAATTGTGTATAGAAAGAGAAGAAAGGAGGTCAGGAGGTTCCTGAAATGTGCTATGGGCTTAATAAATGTTTATTGATTTCTTGATTGGAACCTATGGTTGGTGTGTGGTTGATAATCCAGCAAACGAGACTGAGGAGCAGCAGACAAACCAGAGAGAATTTTTAAGATAGTTACTATACTATTTATTTCTTCCTTTTTGGCTAACACACACTTGATTTACCAAACCTTGTGAAAATAATCATACCTACAGAAAAGAGTACAAGTAAAATCTTTGGAGAATACCAAAGGACTTATTTTCAAATGACAAATGCCTTGAACTTATTAATTTTATGATTTGAACATAGCTCTCAGGAGGGCTTCAACTTAGTATGTTACTTTAGCAAATTTTGTTATGAAGTCCTATGCCGAATTTACAATTTGAGCCATTTCTCTCCCTCTTTTAGCTTGTCAAAATTCCCAAAAATGATCCTCCAAATGAAGCGCATAACTTTAACTTCTACTTGTCAAACGTTGGCAAAGATAACCCTCAGGGAAGCTTTGACTGCATCCAGCAAACTGTCTCAAGGTAAGTACATTTTAAGTTATGATAAGAGAAAAATATTTGTATTTATGTCTGAGACTTTGATTAAACTGTAGAATGGTGGTTATGGTACTTTAATGCTAAGTCAGACTTTTAAAAATTAGCATTTTATAGATATGTATGTGTATGTATACATATAGTTAATATATAAGTATACACGTGAGTGGAATATATCTTCTTTCAAAGCAAACAAATTGGCTGCTTATTTAATATTTCTTAACATTTGTCAATAAATGTTTTCCTTATCAATAAAATAGCTTTAGTGCTTCCTAAAGCTAGATTGGCTCAGCCACTCCTCAGTACATAGCCTCTGGCATTTACCCAACTGTCCAGTCCCAGCCCTGATACTCAGGGTATTTAGTAAACATTCTGAATGTTTTACTTTTTGTGGGGAGAAAAACAGCATTAGGGATTGAAGGTTGATGTAAAGAAATAATACATATAATTGAAATTTTGCTTTAAACCGTGAGAAGGAAGAAAGGTAAAAAGCAGGCATTTATTAAGGCCTTATACGTGCTAAGCTCTAGGGATACAGATACAAGCCAAAAAGAAAGATGACACCTACATCCATAGAACTCACGTTCTTATGGAGGAAGATAACACACAAAAGGGAGGTGGAAAAGGGCAGAGGGGAGGGAATGGTGGAAATAAAGGGACCCAGAACGGGGACATAGTTGTGAAGACCAGAGGAAGTCAAGAACAGGGCCAGGAGCAGAATGAAGCCTGGCCCTTCCACAAAATGGAGGTTCCAAAAGGACCTCACCAATGGGAGAAGGCAGGGACAGGCCTTCTGAGTGGCATTCCCTGATTACCAGGTATTCAGAACCAAAGGTACTTTTTAATAATAATCCAGAACAATATCCTCATTTTTTTTTCAGATGAGGAAACTGAAACCTATACACTTGGATTGACTTGTTCAAGGTCACACAGTTAATTAGCAGAAAATATCAGTGATCCAGAATCCACATTTCCTGGTTCCCAGTCCAAAAACCCATACTCCTACATTCTGTCAGATAATTTAACTGATTTTTTTTAGAAAATTGTTTTTGTTTTTGTTTCATTAAAGGGCTCAATACCATCTTATAAGTAAGTGATATTATACAATTAATTGCCCTATCAGTTTCCACTTTCGAAACCTTGGAGGGCTATCTAACAGTGTTAGCTATATCATTACTGTCATCAGTGTTTTTACTCTTAGCGTTCCTCACTGTAGTTAGAGCATATATTCATGCTTAGTAAGATCATTAATGTGAAATTAACAGAAATTATGTCTCTGTCTTTCATCAGACCTCTATAATTTGGCCCGTCTTACCTAATCAACCTAAACGTCTAACGTATCCATCAGTGGAAACTCTGTAACATTTATCAGCACATTATCTGTTCTGTGATTTACATATGATGATGTACTAGGATTTTTGTGATGATTTCTGATCTTTTTGTTTCTATAAAACTTATCTCATGAACAAGATTGTAAACTTGAAGGAGAGAGACTGTGCCTTATATTTATTCTGCCTCTCATAACCTGGCCTCAGTATATACCAGTTGACTGGATTCCTTTATTAACTTCTCTGACTGCCTCTTCTTTCTTTTCAAGTTCCCCTTTGTAGGGTGGTCATTCCATGGCCTTGAACCAAAAGAAGCTATTTGGAGTTTTTTTTGTGTGTTTAAAGAAACCACAAAGAAATATGCCATTCTGGATCGTAATTAATGTACTTTGAAATACCTAGAGTGATATTACTGGGAAGGCATTAGGGAAGTCTGTCTCTAAGCAATTGATGATTAAGAAAAATGTTTTGTTTTGTTTTTAAGAGCAATGATTGTTTGTCATTTATTCATTGTGGTCTTTCACTAATGCTAAATCTGGCTCTTATCTGTCATCTACATATGCTACCTTAACTTTCTAGTTGACATTTTTTCCCTTTGGAGCTGATGTTTTATTATGTAAGTATGTGACATTATTAGGCTAATCATTAATAGAAATTAGCCAATAGGTATACTTTGGCCATTTCCTATAACAAATTAGTACTGGGAAAGGAACCTCAAGACCCTATTTCTTCTATTTAAAAGTGTTTTACCTTTCTTTAACCGATCACTGAAATGTGTTAGAATAGCTATAGCTATCCTAGTGTTCTCTATTAAGCTCTAATGTTCTTACTTACCATTGATCCCAATAATTATGAACTTTTGGCCTTTGGCTTAATATATCAATAACTAAATTAAGTAAGAGAAGACTAGTCACATTTTTTTACCAGAAATCGCAACGGACTAGCTAAAGTTTTTTGTATTAAATTTTGCTTGAAATAACTAGTCTATCCCCTGAGATTTGGAAGTGTTATTTGTTTTTTATATGGGGATTTTTTGTTTCCCTTATTATCCCATGCCTGGAATGTTGTTCCTCCTCACTTCAGCCTCTAGGTTTCTCTGGCTTTTTTTCTAGACTCAGCTCAAATCCTACCTTCTATAGTCTGACTTTCTCCTTCCCCTAGCTGCTAGTGCCTTCACTCTGAGATTACCTTCCATTTACAACATATTTGTCTTGTGGGAGATTTCTTTATCTCCTGCATTAGAATGTGAACTCCTTGAGAGGGAGTGTTTTTGCATTTTTTTTTTTGTATCCCCAGCACTTGGCTTACCGCCTGGCTTGCAGTAAATACTTAATAAATACTTGTTGATTGGCTGAGACTGTTAATGATCAATATTGTATAATAATAATAATAGCAAACATTTATGTAGTTTGTGCTATCAGGCACTATGATAAATGCTTTATAAATATTATCTCATTTGATCCTCACCAGAACCGTGGGAGATAGGTGCTTTTATTATCCCCCTAAACTGAGGCAAAAAGAAGTTCAGTGACTTACCACAAAATATCAACACCTTATATCCTTTTTAAAATACTATTTTATTTTTCCCCAATTCGTATAAAAACAACTTTAAACATTCTTTTTTTTAAGTCTTGAGTTCCAAATTCTTATCCCTCCCTTCCTTCCTGAGACAGTAAGCAATCTGATGTGGGTTATACATGTGCATTCGTGTAAAACATATTTCCATATTAGTCATTTTGTGGAAGAAAACTTGAACCAAAAAAAGAAAGTGAAAAATAGTTTACTTTGGTCTGTATTCAGTACTTTCTCTGGAGGCCGATAATATTTTTCATCATGAATCCTTTGGGATTGTTTTGGATCATTGTATTGTTTAGAATAGCCAAATCATTCGCAGTTCTTCATTGTACAATATTGCTGTTACTGAGCTCCATATATTCTTTAAAATCCTCTACCCCTTATTCTTACTAGAACTGCCAAAGGTCACATAGCTAGTTAACGTCTAAGGACATATTTGAACCTCAAGACTTGGTGACTCCAAGCCCATCATCTATCCATTACACCACCAAACTGTGAAATAAAATCTGACCCATAGAAATACTGCTTTAGAGAAAAATGTTCACCTGAAATACCTCTCTCCAATTGTTACTCCGTCTTATGTTAGAGTTGAACACAAATTGAACTAATGAAAAACATAAATCTCACTTGCCTCATTTCTAGCCCTGTATATCACCTAATAAATGATACTAACACATTTGAGAAGTACAAATTTTAGCACTTGTGAGGCAGTTCTTAAAACAACTTCAGAAGTCAAATTTTAAACCTATAAAACTGATTTTTTTAAAAAATCAACCCATAGTTATATTTTCCCTTGAATTTAATAAGAAGGTTGTGTCTGATGACAACAAAAGTTGCTTAAAGAAAGTTAAAGAAGCTGAAGCTAAGTTTAAATTTTTTGGAATTAAGTTGCTTTTTCCAAAAAAAAATGTTAAATTGCTGCCACTTATTCATCCCCTACAAGTGAGTTTTAAATGGAAAGGCAAATGTAAATTCTAAGGTGCTTGAGGATCCTAAGGTAATAAAGCAGGCTTTGGTGCTTGCTGGAATTTTGCCACCAACTAGAACACTATTTGCAAATTAAAATTTAAGATACATCTCACTACTCAACTCAGTGCTAAAGATTTGTCCTGTAAAGAGAAAGTTTATTAAAAGTCACTTTTAAACACAAACTGCGTTTCAAGTCTAGTAAGAAACAAGTGCCAAGAACATGTGGCACTCATATGTTGCCATAGACCTAGGGTAAAACCTATATGGCTCTACCCATTCTATTACAGGTACAAAAGAAGAAAATGTTGGAAATTAGAGGAAGATACAAGAATAGAATAATCTTTAAAATCTAGCTTGCCTCTACTGACCAAAACATGAGTTTAAAATGGTCATCTCTTACAAAGCTACTTTGTTATTCTGCAGTTCTGGTGCCTCACAGCTCAATTGCCTGGGATTTATACAAGATAAAATTACAGTATGTGCAACAAATGACTCCTATCAAATGACGAGAGAACGAATGACCCAGGCAGAAGAAGAATCCCGTAACCGAAGTACAAAGGTTATAAAACCTGGTGGACCATTTGTAGGTGTGTATGTGTTTCCTTTTTTTTTTTTTTACCTTTCTCATAAAGAGCAATTGAAGTACCTTAGGTTGCCATCTATAAATTCCACTTCCATTATTAACTTATTAAATCAAAGAAGTTGGTTGTCAGGGAAAATGGGTGTGCAAATATAAAATAGTTTTATCTTATCTTGTGAAAATTACCATAAGAATACCATATTGTTTAAAAAAATTTTTTAACTTAATTGTTAAAAGTGATTTTTTTCCTTCAATTCACTTCCCAAACTATTCCTAATGTAGCTGGTCTGTATTGCTTTGAAAAATGTCTCCTGAGATCTGAGAAAGTGACATAGGAGGTTGTAATTGTTGTGCTCTTCCTTGCCACAAGAAAATAGAGCTTGTGTGTGTGTTTTTAATTTATTTATTTTTAGTTTTCAACATTCACTTCCATAAGGTTTTGAGTTTTAAATTTTCTTCCCTCCTCTCTCCTCCTCCCTCCCTAAGACGGTATGCAATCTGATATAGGCTCTACATGTACATTCCTATTAAGCATATTTTCACATTAGTCATGTTCTAAAGAAGAATTAGAACCAATAGGAAGAACCACAAGAAAGAAGAAACAAAACAAAGCAGAAGGAAAAAAAGAGCAAATAGTATACTTTAATCTGCATTCAGACTCTATAGTTCTTTCTCTGGATGTGGATAGTACAGACAATATAATTTTGATAATGAAAAAATGTTGGATGGTTCATGTTTTACAGTTTGATAATTATTTTTAAAATAAAAAATTCTCGATTAGCAGATCTTTTTCTTTTTTTGGCTTAGTGATCTACCATTGCAGGCTTTTCCTTGCATTTTCAGTGGATACTCAGAAAGGAATTTTTATCTCTAAGAGGTACCCGTTACAAAGCCTCAGGGTGCCAGCACTAAAGGAATGAAATCTAATTACTCTTTGATACTTTAGGCTGTCATCTAGTATTCTGGTGCTTTGTCCGTCTGTCCAGCAAGAGAATGGCTAAAAATTCAGGCTTTACCAATTCCACTCAACATAACCACCAAAACAAGGGACCGACCATAAGAGTGGCAAAAAGGTGATTGTTGGCCATGTCTCTTATTTTGTGTTGATATGGAGAAAGGAGTAGGTGTTTATCAGACCTAATTTGGTATATTAATTTTTATGTCTGTTAGTACTATCAGGAATTGGATGAACCCTTTGTCAGTTTTAAACAGCATAAGCATGCTTTTTTTAAAGTGAAGTATTATTAATTTCAAAACTTCAATTCTAGCAGTGACAGCCTCTCTAAGGACCAAGCCCCTTAATCTTTATCTTTCTATGGCTGAGTATAATTCTGCTTCTGTGTTTTTTCCTTCTATGTGTGAGCCAGCTACAATGCAATCAGTGTTTAGAAACTACACTTCTGTCATTAATAGGCACTTTTTTGGAACATGGCCAATGCTCCTGGGAGCTAGTGCTTAGCTTAGATACACTTAGTTTGGTTTAACAACAATTCATAACTTCCCCAGGTGTCTGTACACACAGGACCAAGTTCTCTCTTCAGTAGGCAGCCACCAAAGAGCATTTTTTTCCTATTCTAATGAGTGAAATAACAATTTTTTATCACCTTTCTTACTCCTTTAACCTCAAAATTGACTTAATTAAATTTATGTACCAATTGTCTAATCTTGCTGTATTATTTTTAAGATTCACAGTATAGTGTTTATTTCATTTTAAGTTATCCTCCATACCCTTTTAACTTGATGGAGAAAGAATGTCTAAAAGTACTGGACATTGTAGATCACTTCTTTATTCAGCATATCCTAAAAATTTTGTCATTCAAGTGAAATATATTTGAATTTTGTAAGGAAATGAAGAGGTGTTGGGTCTCTGGGACAGGAAAGGGGGCAGGGAGGGGGGACAGGGAAGGTAGAAGTAGAATAGAAATAAAGTTGAGAATTTCTGCCTCTGGCAGAGCCAGTTAAAAATGCTTGAAAAATGTTTTGATTTATTATAAAACAGAGAAATCAATTGGAGCTGGAGGGGGGAGGGAAGGGTGCGTAGAGAAAGATTGAAGGAATATCACTGCTCCTCAAAGATGGTTTTCTGATTAAACCCTTTGACTTCACATCAGAATGGTTTGGAGGTTATAAATAGATTTCAGCTGCTGAAGACTTTATTTGTCTAACAATGCCTTGTTTTTAGCATGCACAGGGTTCGAAACACGTAGGTTCCTACAAACCACACAGTGTATGTTCAATACTGTGTAATGGTACTAAAAAGTAACCAAGTTATGTCAGCCTTTAAGGGGAAAAAAAAGGACATCGTAGCTTGGCGTCACTGGTGGCTGAGTGTCATCCTTCCAAGAGATAACTTAAGAACTCAAGAGACTAAAGGTTATTCAGTCTCCCTGTTTCAGGGAAGATCGGTGAGCAGTGTGTCTGCCATGTACAATGTACTGTTTTTAGTTAGGACTGCAGCCAACCATTCCAGATACAGAGTTGTTGTCTACCTGGCTATTAACAATTTCCCTTGGTAACATTTCCTAGGACCTCAGTTTAGATCATTCTTCTATTAGCACTAGGAATTTGTGACATCTTCATGACATCTCTCAGATAAGCCCCCCTCTCTCCTCTGACCTTATCACCATTTCACACCAGACTTGTGAGAGCCTGCTTGTTAGTCTCCCTGCCCTAAACCTCTCCCCACTTCAGGCCATCCTCCACCCAGCTGTCATGTGGATCTGACCACATCACCACCCTGTTCAGTAAACTCCGGTAGCTCCCTATCACTGCTAGCATCAAATAGAAAAGGCCCTGTTTGGCATTCAAAGCAGACTGCCTCTTAGCTGTCCAGTTTTCTTACACTTTTTCTCCTCCCCTGACCTCCACACTGTGCAGTCAAATACACTGGCGTCCTTGCTGTTCCTCAAACAAGACAATCCATCTCCGGGCTTTTTTTATGGGCTATCCCCCATGCATAAAATATTCTTCCCTCTTCAAGTCCCAGCTAAAATATCACCTTCTTCAAGAAGTCTTCCCTGATGCCCTTCAATGCTCGTACCTTTCCTGTCTTGATAATCTTCAGTTGATCCTGTATATATCTTGTTTATTCTTCATTGTTTTCCTATTGTTTTCCCCATTAGACTATGAGCTTCCTGAGAGCCCATTGTCTGGCTTTTGTCTTTCTTTGTGTCCTCAGTGTTTAGCACAGTGCCTGGAGCATAAGAGGTGCTTAATAAATGCTTATAGACTGATTAACTTCTCAAGCTTTTCCCTCATCCTCATTGAACCAGCTACTTACAATCACCCATACAATATTCTTTCATGTTCTTAAATACTGTTGTTACAGCTTTCCTCGGCTTCTCTCCAGGTTAAATGACCCCAAGTCCTTTTAACCTTTCTTTGTATGGCTTGTATGCCAGCCCTCTAATCATTTTCATTGCTCTCTTCTGAATCCTCCAATTCTTCTCATCTCTGAGTTCGAAACTGGACAGACTGCTTTAGTAAAGGTCTGATCTTTATTATAATGCTTTTTTAAGAGGTCCGTGTTGCTATCTCATTTATATTCAATCCTTATGGTATTGCATCTCTTTCAGTCATTTTCTCTCTAATTATCTGTTCACAACTTCCCATTTTCAACCAATTTGTCAAAGTTACTTCAGATTCTTTTCTCTTCTTAAATGCTAGCTAACCATCCAGATTTTGTCTTTAACAAATAGTCCTTGAAACAGTTGTGCAGTCTTCATAAAACAGAATGCCCCTTAACTGTTTGTTATGCCATGGAAAACCAAGCTCAAAGTTGATACAATGATGCCTCAAAAACCAAGGATTATTTTTCACAGAAAGTCCCTCAGGAAATGAATTAGAGAAAGTTCTGATCTCAGGTGAAAGCAACCTAGGAGTTCAGTCTCCAGCAGAGGACTCTAAAAAGTGCACCAAGGCTTCTAGGACAGTGGCATGTGGGAGCAGGGGAAACACCTGTGCATTGAGGTCTTCTGTACTGTACTGCCATATCACCAAATAGAGGCTCATCCCCCAGAGCCAAGAGTGATCTATCTAGATTGAGAGGCCTAGGAATTCACAGCTCAAATGGGAGAAAAAGATAGATATTAGAAAGGAATCTATATTCTTATTCCTTCTATAATATTTCTACTTTTAGTAACAAAGTTTCCTACAACAAGTGCATCTTTGTTATATTCTTTGTTAAGAGAACATTGGTCATAGCTCCTTTCAAATTTCTTTTTCCTTTAAAAGGAAACTAAACTGTTTGATTATTTTACCCTATCCATGTGATCCGATTTAATGTTTATAAGCATATTTTTATATATAGTCATGTTTTCTAAGTTTGCATGTTACTGGCTTTTAATTTTTCTAGATAAGTAAATATGACCAATGTAATTTCCGAGACTATACCTTCCCATTTTCCCTCTTTTAAAAAAAAATCAGTGGTATTTGTTTATATACTTGCATGTATTTCTGTTTGTTTATATGTTTTGTTGCCTTTCAAAAAATTAATGTCATATTTAGTTGTACTGAATAACCTAAGTGCTTATATGCTCATTGAGCTGTATAAAGTCCAGCATTGGTTCTGCATTGCCAAAGCCACTGTCTTTTATTCCCCCCTTTCTCTCCCAGGCCAGAAAAACAATTTCAAAAAGCCAGTTTGCAATATCTACTCTCTTTCTAGGATGTGGTATTTTGTCTCTGTTTCAGCTTGTTTATTTGATAGTTGTTAGACATGGGGAATGAATCTCTTACTTTCCATCTCATATTGAGTGGAAGACCGGTAAGTTCTTGGATACATAGTATTAGTTGTCTGTCTTAATATAGTGAAATATAGATTCAGATGAGCAGTCCCCAGGTCACACAACACAGATCCACTGCCACCAGTTATATAAAGAGCTCTAGGGATTGATTAGAAGTTGAATCTGGAAAGAGAATTAGGTTCTCCCACAGGTTTCATTAAAGGGACTTTTCTGAGGTTTAAAAAAAAAAGTTGTTTTCCCCACCCCACCTCTTACCCCTTAATATTTCCTGCTTTATTTTTTGGCCTGTTATGTAAATTACAATGTTTTCTTTCTTTCACATTGTTTTTCCTGAATTGAATAGGAACCTGAGTGGGCAAAAGGATGTACAGTTCCTTGAATATAACTCACTGGCTCCACACGATAGGTTGTCATGTCAGATTAGGCAGCTAGCTGGTTGTAACACCAAGATAAAGAGAAGTGTAAAATAATAAAATAAGAGGAAGTGTCCAGGTTACCTGGCTGGCAATAGGCCCTTGCTGAGACCTTTCTACTATGTCACTACCCTGACAGTCACTCCTGTACCCTCCTAACCAAACCCCACTGCCTATCCTCAGTGAAGATAGTGCCATGAGGAAAAGTGAAGCTAAACCAGGACCCTGGCCTCCATGCCACCCTGAGGAAAAATAAGCATGTGTTAGGAGGGGATGAAGCTGACTGCCATTCAGTGAAAAAAGTATTGGTACTTTCTGTGCTTGTTAACATTTATCTTCCTCTTGACCATGAAGCTGTACCTGTTTACTTTGATAGGATGTGCTTAGCTAAGATTAAAGGTAGAAAGATTTGCTTGTCATTGTTAGAAATTTATTGTGTATTTCCAAACACTCCAATGATCTCTAAAATTAGGTGGGAAAATAAAAAAGATTTTTTAAAACTGTAATTCTTCCCCATGTCATACTTTTAGTCCACCCTCTACATTTTTTGCATACTGTCCGAAATCCTTTGGTGGGCTGCAGGTTGCACAGTCTTTAGACCTTACCACTTTTCTGTTGAGGATTTTTGTTTTGTACTTTGAGGAATGGTTGTTGCCATTAACCATGTCCAGATGCTAAAATGAAAAGTAATTATGGTAGAAAGAGATTCCTTCTGATCATATAATTTTGGTCACGATAATAAAAAATAGGCCATCTTTCCATGCCACCTCTCCCTTCTCCTTACCCTTCATGCTCTAACCTCGGTGATAAAGAAGCTGCTGACAAGATCATTTAGAGCTTTCATTGAAGATTCTAGCATTTACTTTTCCTTCTGAAATATTTGAAGCCAATTAGTCTTATTTGTAACTCAGTGGTCCAGTATGTTGGGCTGTCATTTTAATAATCTGAACAGCTAGTTAACTAAGGAGCCTGAATAGGCATGGCTACTCTCCAGGTGACACTTGGCAAGGTTTGAGGGAGGGGAATCAAAACTGAATGAGCCCCAGATACACAAAATCACAGAGGCTTTTTCCCCAAAAAAATTTTTGCTCGATAAATTGTATACTTAGTACACAATGCCCATTTCAACCAAGCTGTCTCTATTTGGAAGAGATACTTGTTGAATAATCATAAATAAAGAAGAGTTTAGTGAGATTTAGGTTCTTATATGGATGTGGTCTGCATATAGTAGGAAAGGCCTTCTTTTTCTCTCTGCAGAGGCCTCAACTATTTACCATCCTTCCACTGCTGAGGGATAGAGATCTTCTTATTTGACCATTTCTGAAATTTTTGTTAGGGCTTCCAAAATTTTTAGCTCTACCATTGATAAGAACAGATGATTAATAGGTACTAGCCCTACAGTTTGTGCCTTCACTGAAAAGGTAATTTAACATATATGTAGCTGTCATTTAGCTAGCCCATTCTCAGTATAGGCTAGAACAATTTTTAGTAATCTTACTGTGTGATTTTTCTAGACTTCTATACAGCACAGAGAAAAACAAACTGAACATTACAAAAGATGATATTTTCATATGCAGTCCTATTTTTGTTCTGTGTAGGCATATTCATCTTTGATGATAATTGTTAAGTTCATTTTTAAAAAAAGAAAGATTATTGAACTGGGAGTAAGGAGTTTTGGTTGTAACCCTGGCTCTAGTCCCTTTGTGACTTTGGGCAAATCACTTTAATTCTCTGGACCCCAGGAATTGGACTAATTGTATCTCATTAGAGTTAATCCAATGAATGAGTGTAGTTGAACCTGACTGACAGAAATTCTTGAAACTTACTTTGAATTATTGTTTACCTACGTAACATGTGTGTCATCCTCAAAACTCAAAAATAAACAAATAATATGATAGCTACCTCAGAATACTGACAGATGCTTGTCATAGCCTGTAGACACTGACTATTGTCTTTTCTACTGGACCTAGGCAAAAGAGTGCAAATTCGGAAAGCACCTCAAGTTGTTCCGGATGCAGTGCCCGAAAGGAAAAGGTCAACTCCTATTAACCCTGCAAATACAATACGGAAGATCCATTTGAACAACAATGTTTCTCAGCGGCCCTATAGAGACAGGGTGATTCACCTCCTGGCACTGAAGACATACAAGAAACCAGAGCTACTTGCTCGATTACAGAAAGATGGCGTTAATCAAAAGGACAAGAACTCCCTTGGAGCCATCCTTCAACAGGTGAGACCAGTTTAATTGGTGGGCATTCCTTCATCTCCTAGAGAAAGGTCTGTCACCTTCAATTAAGGTGGCTTGTTCCTCTTTAAAATAGAGAACTGTCAGACTCAGTTTAATAAAGGGGCAGTTTAGAGAATTTAACTCGTGCAAATTTGAATTACCTCAGGGTAGCCATTTAATTCATAAATGAAATAGAAAACTAGGAGTTAGTATCTGGACAGTCTAGACCAAAAGAATATGCAGGCCTCACATTTCAGTGACTACTTGAAAGGCATACTTCTTGAACGGGAGTCAGGATATTTGTACTCTTAATTCAAAGTTGCAAGGCCTTAAGCAATTCATTTAACCTGTGACCTCTATCTATCCCACTGATTACTGAATGCTGAAAGATCTAAATTTGAATCCCAGCCCTGCCATTTACTATCAAAGTAATCTAGGGCAGGTCACTTACTCTCATTGGGCTATAGTTTCCTTATCTGTAAAATGGGAGTGGTAAACCTAAATGGCCTCTAAAACCCCTTCTATCTCTAAATTGTGATCTAGAAAATGTAAGCTAGAAAGAATATTTTGTGCTTTTTAATCAAGTTACTTGAATATTGTCCCAGTTTCAATTGAGTAGACACTAAATAGGGTTTGACAATTGTCTTCTTATCTCATTTGTTGTGTATAATTTTGGCTAAAATTTATTTTTAAAAATACAAATCAATTTAGAATATGGGTTATGCTGATGATTCTTTATTGCTTTTCTTATTCCCCTTTTTATTAAATATATGTGCTAGGCTTCATTTTTCTGCAACCAAAACATATATTTATTTAGGTTATAAATTTGAGGGGAACTTGAAGTGACCATTAGTGGTTCTTATAACATCATAATCATAGGTTTGAGTCTAGTATTAGAATGTTAATTCTTAAGTAGACAGTATTAGCCTCTTAATTTATGAAGCTATTCAAGTTTGAATAACATTCAGACCTTTGATTATGGTTATGGGTGTGGGACTTGCTATCCTTTGTTTTTTCTAAAAACAATTTCACTTTAGTAGTAGCTATTAAGTTTCATTAAAAACTTTAACAGGTTTCAATCTATTACTCTGAAGACTAAAAGCTTTTCATTGCCTCTTTGAATGTCTAGTATGTTCATGGCATTATCTACTAAATGATATGCAGAATTAGAGGAGAGATATTAAACCCTCAATTTGTCCCATCTTAGCATGTATTATAATCATATCTTGAGTTATTAGATGATTTGAGTATTTTTGAAAACAATCCAAGAAACAAAATCAGTTTAAGTTCATATGACAGAGAGCTCTTTGGGGGAAAGGTGTGTACTACAGGGAGGTTACAAATCAAACAAACAAAATTATTGCCTTGGAGTACAGAGGTGACACTAATAGGAGTGACAAAATGGATAAGGATGGTGTTTTTTAGCCTCAAGTGCACATTTCTATACAAAGATGTCTTAAAACCATGGGCATGCAGTGGTGAATGGAGCATTTGAGGGAGTTATTTGAGGATTCCTAATATACAGGGACCCTATACTATATGATTCTAGTGATTTGTGATTCTTGACTTCTGACTCACTTGAAACCATAAGGTGTAATAATAGTAGGAGAGCCTAGGCAAAGCAGGGATAGAAGAAATTCATAGGAAATTAATTTTCTTTAAATTAGCCATGTAAGCCTCCCATCCTCTCTCCCTGCCCCCAATACACAGCGTTATTGATTTCATTTTCGTACCTTTCATAAGTAGAATAGAAGTTCCTTGAGGGCAGAGCCTGATTCAATTTTGTCTTTTTGTCCCCAGTGCTTTGCATTGAATAGGAACTTAAATACTTAACTGTATCAAATTATACTTAATTGAATTAAATCTAGTATCTGTACAGCTCACAATATATTGGTTAAAATTTCACTGCCTTTCCTTTCTCTCTGATGTCCATGGAAATGGATAGTAAGCTTACCCCAAAGGACATGTAAAGGATGGAAAGAGAAAGATCAAGGGATTGTCCACAAACTGGTTAATCATCTCCTGAATAATAAAGTTGAAAAGCTGCCTAGACTAATCCTCTTCCTTCTCTGCCAGTGGGGATGTTTGCTGATTTGTTGCTCAACCTGGTTGTTATAAGTCATCCTTTGAAAGTTGTTGATTCATTGAGCTCCTCAAACTAAACCGTAGCTGAGATGATTATGCCTCAATTTAAAATTAGCTAAATATTTTTGGAAACTTTGATAACTTGTTCCTTATTCAAATAACATGTATGACTTTGTTCTTAATTTTACCTCATAACTCTATAGAGTTTCCTGGCACGGGAAAAATCAGCTCAAATGTTAAGGTCAGACTTATGCTTAGAAAGGAAAGCACTAAAGCTTTCTTATAATTCAACCTCAAAGCAACTTTCAGTAGGCAGATAATCAAAGCAAAAAAATCACTGGGTTTTCCTACTCAAATTATCTGGGCATTCAGGTTAGCTTTCTGTTTTGCTTTACTAGAATAAACTTAGATTTAACCTTTTTTTTTTAAACTGGACTTGTGATTTTATTAATGTGGAAGCTCCTTCTACCAATACATATAGCAGTTCCTCTGTAACTTACACTCTTAAGAAGTTGCCCAGGGTAGTGACAGGTTAAAGATTTGTCAGCATTTACACAACCTAGGGTGTTTGAAAGGCAGAACTTGAATCCAGGTCCTCCTGACTCCAAGGTCCACCTTTTCTCCACAGCACCTTTATGATTTAATGTTAAAATAACTGGTTTCATTTTCAAAAGAAAACATCAAAAATTATGATACTCTTCAAATAAAGGTTTAAAAGCATCTAAATATAAAAAGTAAATAAAAGATAACATTTTGACATACTTTTAGGACAATATCTTCTTTTCCTGTAAGTGAAAATAAAATTTCTGCTATTAATAACCCGAAGTTTGTTGATTCAATAGAGTCATGACACTCCTGCTTGTAAATCATACTGCAGCTTCCACCATGGCCTGAATGATTTTGGTTCTGAATCACCCTGTGCCTGTCACAGCTAGTGGTCAGGGTAGCCAGAGATGTAGCTACGGACGATTCAGGAGGAGACAGTAGTCATAAATTTCTTAAAGGATAGTGGGAAGCCTAAGCATTTCCTAATGGAAAACAAGAATTGCACTATATAAATCTGGTGACCTTGCATAAAAATATTGCAGATATAATTTAATGTTAACATATAATTTTTCTACCACAAAATTAATAGTTCATATTAGTTTTCACATCATTGATACAAATGGTATAATGAGGTCATATGCTGGACTTGGGATGACCTGTGTTTAGAAAATTCCTCTGACAATAGCTACGTGATCCTGAACAAGTCTATGAATCTCTGTGTGCTTCAGTCATCTCTCTAAGTCTAATCTACCAAGTCAAAGATGGGTTGCAATTTGTTTGGTGGAGGGAGTTCCTACACCAGGACTTCTTCCCCATATTACCAATAACAGGTCCTTCAGGTATTCATTTCTTGTCATCAGTGTATGAACGGTATAAATTTCAGCCGAGTTGCAGTGAGAGAACTGTTTAGTTAAGCATATTTGACAGGTGATTTGAAAATCATGAAAGGAAATCACAATCTCCCCCCCAAAAAAAGTAGATATTCCAATGTAGAATGTCAGTAAACTATACCTTTCATCTAACCTGGGATGGGGGGAGAATAACTTCTGGTAATTCTGGAAACCATGAATTTGTGTAGTCAATGTAATCACTGGATTGGTGAAAATAAGCAGATAGAGGTAAAAAGTAAAAAAATAAATTGATAAACTTATTTCCATATGGCTTTTACCTGTCCATTATTATATTATGCCTGTAGTGCTCCTGGGATGATTCTATTAGCTACTGGAAAATAGAGGTAGTTAGTTCAAATCTATTTAAATATCTGTGGAGGCTTGAGTAGTATATAGCAAACGTGTTTTCAGGCTTGGTAAAACATAAACATTAACAATGTAATCGCAGTGATTCTTCTGGGGTGAGGTTATTTCTGGACTGTGGCCAAAGGAATATTTTTTTTCCATATGCTTTTGAGTTGAAAATTTTTCTCCCTTTTCCTCCCCTCCACCCTCCCCAAGACGGCGCACAATCTGACGTAGGCTTTACATTTATATACCCGTGAAACATATTTTCACATTAGTGAAGTTGTAAGTAAAAATTAAAACCAATAGGAGGAACCATCAGAAAGATGAAACAAAACTCAACAGAAGGTAAAAATAAATGATAGCGATTCGACTTCCATAGTTCTTTCTTTGGATGTGGACAGCATTTTCCCTCCCGAGGCCTCTGGAAATGTCTTAGAGCCTTGTCATGCCAAGAAGGGTTCAGTTTAACAATCTTAGTCATTGCATAACGTGACTGTTATTGTGTACAGAGTCCTCTTGGTTCTGCTCATTTCACTCAGCATCAGACCATATAAGTCTTTCCAGGTTTTTCTGGTCAGCCTGTTCATCATTTCTTATAGCACAATAGTATTCCATTACATTCATATACCGCAACTTGCTCAGCCATTCCCCAATTGATGGGCATCCTCTCAATTTCCAATTCTTTGCCACCACAAAAAGAGCTGCTATGAGTATTTTTGTACATGTGGGTCCTTTTCCCATTTGTTTGATCTCTTTGGGATACAAAGGAATATTTCTTAATGTGAAAGTTTAATGACTTAATTTAATTCAAATGTGCAATTGTTTTGTGTCCTTATAAGGTGTGTGTGTGTGAGAGGAACATAGGTAATTTGAGAATTAACTCTGTTTGGAGAGTAATACTACTGTAACTAGACATATATAGATATTGATAAACATAACTGTTCCCATATACCAGAAATGCCTTTTCTCCTCATCTGTCCTAATGATATTTTCCTAAGTATCTTTGCATATCAGAATAATATAAGTGAAAAAGCCTTTCAGAAAGAAAACATTTAGATGCCCATAAAAGAAAAAAAAGTTTCTAAAATAAAGTGAAATAAAAATTAAAAAAAATAAAATTTAATGAAATCTACCATGTACCAAATTAGCCGTCTCTTATATGCTAATGCATTCAGTAGTGACTTTTAAGTGTAAATCTTAAAAGTTGCTACTGGTTCTATACTTTGTTGTGTATTTGATTATTCTTTGTGACCCCATTTGGGTTTTTCTTGGCAAAGATACTGGAGTGGTTTGCCATGTCCTTCTCCAGCTCATTTTACAGATGAGGAACTAAGGCAGACAGGGTTAAGTGGCTTGCCCAGGGCTCACACAACTAGCCAGGTTTGAACTCAGGAGAGTGAGGATTCCTGATTCCAGGCCCAGCATTCCATCCTCTCCACCACTAGCTGTCCGTGATTCTGTATTAGAAAAAGTATTAAGTAGCTTACAGTGTGAGGCAGCAAGCATTTACTAAGCACAGTGCCAGGCACTGGAGATAAAAAGAAAGGCAAAAAACGAAAGTACAAACAAAAAAGAAGCAGTCCCTGCTCCCAAGGATTTCCCAATCTAATGAAGGAGACAACATGCAAATAACTCAGCTGTTGTTGTTTGGTCGAGTAGTCCTATCTCACTCTCTGCCGAGAGAGTAGGGTGGTTCGCCATTACCTTCTCTAGCTCATTTTACAGATGAGAAAACTGAGACAAACAGGGTGAAGTGACTCACCCAGGATCACACAGCTACTGAGTGTCAGAGACCAAATTTGAACTCAGGTCCTCTTGACTCCAGGGTTAGCACTCATTGCACCACCTATCTGCCCCCAAAAACAATTAGGTGAAACATGACATGTGTGTACACACACATACACACACACACATACATACACACACACACACACACACACACACACACACACGTATGATAAACGTTGGGCTTTGAATGCCAAACAGAGGACTTTATCATTGATCCTGGGATCGATGATAGGAAGCCAGTGCAGTTTCTTTTACAGATTGGTCTAATGTCCTATATTCTTGTGTCCTATGCTGTAGGTAGCCAACCTGAATCCCAAGGACCTCTCTTATACCTTAAAGGATTATGTATTTAAAGAGCTCCAAAAAGATTGGCCTGGATACAATGAGATCGACAGACAGTCGCTGGAGTTAGTGCTGTCTAGGTGAGTTGTTTTGTTGCTTTTTAAGGAGAAGAATAAAATTAGGATGATAAACATTGGCAGTAATGTTATTTTGATCTGGGGAGTGGGGAGGAGAAACAGGGGTAAACTTTTCTCTTTAAAGTCTTGATGAAATCATTAGTGTAACCTGGAACGTGTGTGTCCTTTACAGAAAATTAAATCCATCTTCTCAGAATGCTACCAGCACCAGCGGTTCAGAATCTCCTATATGTTCTAGTAAAGATGCTGCATCTTCTCCTTCTCAGGTACTTCATAAAATCATAGAATCATAGAATGTTAGAGCTGAAAAGGACCTTGGAGATCATTGCGTCTGACCCTGATTTGTAGAGAATAAAGGAACTCAGGCACACAGAGAGGAAGTGATTGCTGAAGGCCACCCAGCTTGGAGAGGGGCCAGAGCCAGGCCTAGAACCCAGGTCCCTTGGCTCTCAGTCCACTGCTCTTTTTCACTCCCAGTGGTGTCCTAGCAGGAATGCTTCACTTTGACCCTCTGGTGCAACGAACAAAACAGAGTTTTGCGGTAGTTGTTCTAAAGCTTAACTATCATAACAGGATTTTCTTCTATTCCATTTGATAACTGACTAGGTGGCTCACAAGTCCCTCCCAGCCCCATGATTCTGTGATTTACTGTAGGAAATTCAGGAAATTTAATCTTAACTAGAAACGTGTATAACTTAAATTTTTTTGAAACCTTTTTAGCAATTTTCTTAAGAGCCTTAAACAAAAGGTCATAAAGAAAAAAGATTACATACCACTACTTAAAGAAAGCTAAATTATATCAATCCAGAAGGTGGCTATTTATATTACAGAGCAATTATTTGTTTTGTAAAAGCATTCATCTGAATATTGTTTTTAAAAATGAATTTCCCTTACTTGAATATTTAAATGAAGGTATACTCTCCTTGGGTATAGGCTGACCTACTGGTGAAAATTGCAACCCCTCAACACCTCAGCTTGATTGATTCTTAGCCATTTCTTTATAATAAATACTCTGTAGATAATCCACTTAAACTGCTGGAGGCCTTCCTTAATACATTTAAAGTCTAGTTCACTTTTTAGAGCTTTATTTTCACACCTTTTTCAGGAAAGAAAAATACCAAGTTTGCTTTTAATATGCTTGTAGGTTCAAAGAAAATATTTTCCCATATGTTCCAGGGGTGAGGAAAAGATGTTGAACCTGAATTACAGGACAATAAAAAATTTGATGTGCTTTTTTTCTTTTCTTTTTTGTTTTTGTTTTTGTTTTTGTCTTTAAGCATTAAGTAAGAGGATCACTGTTATTAGAAGTCTGTTACTGAATGGAAGGAGCAAACAAATATTTGCCATGCTTCTCAACCGCCAGAGGCCAGTCAGGTTGTAACTTTTCTGAACTGGGGTGTCCCAGAGGATCCCCTTTGGCTTGGAATTACACCCCAGTGGATTTGGCCTAATCCTGAGGGAGATCAGAGCAATTCTGGGTTAAATCAGAACCAGTCTGCCTGAGGTTGAACATAATCTATTTCTGCCCAAGACTTGTGAAGCAGCCTCAAACAAATTTGATCATTCATTCTTGGCAGCTGACCCAGATCCCTGGTGGTACTGATGACCAGAATAGACCTCCCACTCTCGGCACACATGCCCGGTACTGGGAATAGAAGTGACCTGTGGCAAAAAGTAATGAAGCATGCCTTGGGTTTAATGGCAGCTTGTTAATTCATCCTCATCATTATCCCTGGTGCATAACTTCTCCAAGCTCCTTGTTAAGAAATTTACCTTCAGCTATTAGGAAATGTTGGAGATGTGTTGTGAGGAGCATAAGAGAACAAAAAACTTGAATTTGTGGCTTTACCCACATAGCAAATAGCTGTTATGACACTACTTATACTCTGATCTAATTATATACTGAGAACGATTTGATACTTCATGGTGGCAAATAAATGGTGTTAAATTCTGTGAGAGAGTAGGTGAATGAATTGGTTATTCCTTATGTTGTTTGTATCACACGCGAAGCCTATAGTATTATATTACCTTTCATTTTAAACCTGTAACTTGTACTTTGAACTGCCTTGCTTCACTTTTTACTTAAAGCCCATCTTTTCTACATATAGTAAAGGGGGTTCTTAATCTTTTTTGTGTCATGAGCCCCTTTGACAGCCTGGTGAATCCTGCAGACCCTTTCTCAAAAAGATGTTTTTAAATACCTGAAGGAAATGCTAAATTTCTCTTAAAGGTTAATGAAAATAGACATGTAGTTTTTATCCCATCCAGCTTTATCAACTCTCTGAAATCTACCCATGAACTCCTTTGGGATCCATGGACACTAGGTTAAGAATCCCTGGTGTAGACAGATCCATCTATATCTTTGTGACAGTAGATATTCTCCTGATTGAGTCAAAATCTTTCCCTATCTTTTTTTCTGACGTCACTTAGATCTCTCCTATAACCTAAAAACACCTTTGTGGTGCTGTGGATAGAGCACTACATTTAGAGTCAGAAATATCTGAGTTCAGATATGCCCTTAGATACTTACTAGATATGTGGGCACATCTCATCTATAAAACAAGGATAGCAATAGCACCTATTTCCATGGGTTGTTGTGAGATCTTTTTATGTCACATGAAAAAATCTAAAAAACAGAAGGAAAAGGGCATTGAGGAGAAGGAGAAAGACCTTAAGACAAAAGATGAAATTGCCAAGCTAAATGTATTTGTAAAGCACTATGTAAACCTTGAAGCATATATAAATGCTAGTTATTATTTATGATTATAATTTAGTGACAATATCACTTCCTACTCCAAGACAGATGAAATAATTGCTACAAGCCATAATGTTCATTTTAAAGCTGGAACGTTTTCACATGTTAGGAGAGAGACTAAATAAATGTTGGCCTGTTGCCTTTTGCCAGGTCTTGTTAATTCTCACATGGTGAAATGGTATAAATTGCTTCCTCCTCGAACTGTCTAAAACTAGGTCAGCTGTGGCCAGCAGAGCTTGACTACTAGCTTTATTTAGTGCTGTTACTAGGCCTAAGATCTCTGTGACAGAGGCATTTACAGAGAGGTGGTGATCTGATCAGATGGATCTGAATACCATCTAAGAAAAATGTCCATGCCAGACTGCTAAATGACATTCACATTTATTTTTTATTGTTGCTGACACTTGAGGAAAAGTTAAAGTTGCACCCTTGGCATTAAGGTGTGAGCAAGGCTGTTCTACTGGATGTGCATTAACCTATCATTTAAATTTTGTGTTCCATCTTTGTGCCAATTAGCCTGTTTTGTCTTCCTTCCTGTTATGTTTTTCAGAAACGCCTCTTGGATTCAGATTTCATAGATCCTTTAATGAATAAAAAAACTCGGATATCTCACCTAACAAATAGAGTTCACCCAACATTAAACGGTCATTTGAATTCCACCATGAAAAAATTGCTGTGGCTCCACCACCACTACCACCACCTCCTCCTCCTCCACCACCTCCTCCTCCTGCAGCTGCCGCCACCCCAACTCCACCACCTCTTCCTTCAACCCACCTTCCAGTTTCAAATCCTCCTCAGACTGTAAATTCTAACTCCAATTCCCCTAGCACTCCAGAAGGCCGGGGGACTCAAGACCTACCTATTGACAGTTTTAGTCAAAATGGTAGCATCTTTGAGGACCAGCAGGACAAATATACCTCTAGGACTTCTTTGGAAATCCCACCACCTGATTCAATCCTGTTGAAGTGTCCAAAGCCCGTGGAAGAGAAACATTCAATGTCACATAAAAAATCTAAAAAAAAATCTAAAAAACATAAGGAAAAGGACCAAATTAAAAAACAGGACATTGAGGAAAAGGAGAAAGACCTTAAGACAAAAGATGAAATTGCCAAGCTAAGTAACTCCAGTCTGGATTCAAATGAAGGTATTTGAAATTTCTGAGAAGATTATTGTTTTAAAGCATTAATGTGGGCATGCTGGTGGGACTTTAAGAATTACTGGTTCCCAGTGAACTACTGTTGGGGGAAATGGGGTAGGGTTTCTTGGGTTTTTTTCCAAGTGACCTCCACTTCTTTAGTTAAGTCCTTATCTTGACCACATTTTTCTTTATGGCAAATTCTAACCTTTTTCTGCATTGTCTTTTCTACAGTTTCCTTTGAAAATACTTTTTTTTAAAAGATCTTTAAATATGATTTTACATATGCAGTATTTTGGTAATAAAACAATAGGGTTAATGTTGTCAGTCCTCCCAGGAATGTCCTTTTAGCCCTCTTCTAGAAAGTAGGTCTTATTGAAGCTTTATAGGACGTTTTAACAGCTATAAATGTTATTTTTAAACTTATTTAACAAAAAGAATATTTATTAATTACTCTTCCCCCAGAAAAGAATATAGCTACTATAATTAGCATTAGAGGTGAGAAAATATTTTTTAAAAATCTTTGGAACTTGCAACTTAAATTAAATTTGAGGATTCAGAATGTCACCTCTACTCGGACTTTTGCCAATTTTCCATAAGTTACTATTTTATTAGTTTGATAAGTCTTGTACAAATGTTTTATATTACAATGGTCTTGTATATCAGAAAAGTAACATAATTAAGAAAATTCTGGATTTCCATTAACCTAGCTGTTTAGGGGTAACAGAAATGCAAGGGATAATATGCATAGGTTTCTTTTATCCAAACCTAGATCAAATGTCCTCTTTTCCTAAGAACCATAAGAAGTCTATATGTTCTGGCAGAAGTTTAACATTGTAAAATAAAAGAAAAAGAAGATAGGCTACAATGCTCAGATTCTTATAATCTAGCCAAGAGCTCAGATTCTTAAAATCTGGCCCACTTGCATTAGCGATATAAATACTTAGATACCCAATATGATGGATGTTCTAATAAACCTTGTCTTTAGCTGAAAAAAAAAAGACAGGCTAAAAAGCCCCATTTAGAGAAAACATTAAGCTAAAGTGCTGTAATTCCCACAATAGAGCTTTCCTACGGTGCTTTTTTAAAGTCACTGCATTGAACTTAAAATCTGATAATAATATAATTCAGTTTTTTGCTTTTCAAAAGGAAATACTAGCCTTGTGGAGTTACTTCTCTAACAGTTGAGGTCAGGCTCACCAAAAAATGGAAGAATCCAAGCCCATCTTTCAATCTTGTAGCTAATTATAAATGCAGGAGATGACTAAGACAAAATTTCCCAGAAAAATACTACTTTTGTCAAGTGTATGAATAAGGTTTTAAGGAGTGTCATGTTTTGCTTTCTATATTTGTGTATAGAATTAAAATGGTACAATTCTCTAATCTAACTTTTTTTTTTGCCATATGGTGCTCTCAGCAGTGAAAAGTCTGCAGAAGTGGTACAGTAGAATCTGTTTGTAGTAAAATTCATCATTAACATGAACTTGAGTATAATAAAATGTCAATATATGCCGTTTAAAGTACTTATGTAGACTCACAGCATGGTGAGTCTGAAGCAGGGGCCGTCTTCTCTAAACCCACAGTATTTAACTTAGGCAGATAAAAAGGAGGCATAAAAATTCAGTAACCTCAGAAGTGCAGGATTCAGAATTCATAGGTCAGATCTCTAAAAATATGCTGTCTCCTAATGTCTCTCTTTGCCTGCAAGATAGAATTCTTTTTCTAGCTTAATCTTGGTGTTGGGGTCCAGAGCAATTTAATACTTAGGGATACACTTCTGAGATGGTCAAGTCAACTCTTTACCAGCTCAGTGTTTCCTCAGAAATTCAGTAGGAGTCAGACTCTCTTTCCTTGACAGAGTCAGTCTTAGGCTTCTTGAAGTTTTTCAGTCAGAGTTTAGAGCCTCCAAGGACTAATCCTACTTGGAGAAAAACAAGAGAATTTAGAGTCACGGCCTGAATTTGGTTTGAAATCAGTCTCCTTTTAATGACCAGAGAAAGGGACCAGATGATAAGTACTCAGGTATCCACCAGGATGTAATCTCCTTTGCTCACAGAGAGATACAAGGGATAATAGTCACAGGTTACCTGTTTTTTATGGGTTTTGATTTGTTTGTTTTTTTATATCCAAACCTTCCTCAACTATGCTTAAGAACCACAAACTTATAAAGTCCACATGCTCTGGAAGGAGAGCTCTGCATTGTAAGGGGGTGGAGAATGAATATGAAATTGCAAAGTGTTCACTTTTATTATGCAAAGAAGATTTAAGTTTTGCAAGCAAGCAAGTGGTAGAGTATTAGTTTATTAGCCTCACTTTACTTTGGATGGCACAAATTTACTCTATTAAAAGAACCACTGAACATACTCTTGGAAGATAGTTTACTCAAATGGAATACTGTGGGGATTTTATACACTTTCATGACAGTCCTCAGAGACTTACACATTATTTTTTCTTTTCTTTCCTTTCCTTTTTTTAAAGCTGTGTTCGGCATTATGAGGTTAGTTCAGTATGCATTAGGGCATAGCACTGCCTTATTTTAAGTGTCTTAAAACTGATGGGAAAACTTCCGACACAATTCAGCAGACTTCATACTCCTCCCCATCTCCCCCCAAAAAGGATGGCAGTAAAAATACAGTGACTAAAGCAGTCTGCTACCTCACATTATTGTCTTGTCTGTCTTGTTCAAATCCCATGAAAATTAGATGTTGATGTAAAACTTGTATCTCCAATTGTTTCACTGCATCTGCCACCACAGTACTTGAATGCTGTGCAGATGCCACAACTTTTCTTGAAATAATAGAAGATTGACCTTGGGTTAAAATTGGATTCCTTTATTGTGCAGACACTGCAGTAGCCAATGCACTTTCAACGCCTGGTATTGGCCATGGTAGAGCTAGTCATATGGCCTCTATTGTTCATGTTCAATTGTATTCCTTGCTCACTGTTGCTTATTGAGGTGGCAGAATAGAATTTCTAGGAAGAGTGTTCTGGGTGCTTCTGATTTGGATTAGAATTCGAGGTTTATTATGACCATATTAGGTGATGAGCATATTAAAATTCTGTTTCTTCTTAGGAGTTGAAGAGGTTTGCACTGCCTCCACAGATCCTTCATCAGCTATTGAACTACCGGATTATTTGATGTAAGTTGAAATGTCTGCCACCAGAGAATGGTAGTGTGGGGCTTAAAAGTCTGCAAATTCTCTCTGCATGACTTCCAAATCAGAAAATTTAAGAAGGCTTAAAAAATAAAATACTTGGACAATTTTTTCCCATTAAAAGACTACCCCTAAAAAGCTGATATTTCTTAAATTAGTCCTGCCAACTAACTTTCCTGGTTAGGCATGTAGTACCGCCCCATCCTTCTTCTGGGCTGTTCTTCTGTTCAATAGCCTTTAAGTGTACAAGAATCCTTCTCTTTGTTCCCATGGGTAGAGGAAACATTTGAATATGGAAGAATTTAGCTCTCCAATACTTCAAAGCTGACAAGCCTGACTTAGTCAGGGGGCGGTCATTTTCTAGCCTCCCTTTGGGAGGCTTAGTTATTAGTAAATGTGGAATCACTGGGATTTACAGCATGCTTTTTAATTATATAAAGGACAGCAACACATTGTTTTCTTCAAAACCTGGAACAAACACTTAAAGGTCTGTCCTCCCTTTAAGATGAAGAAAATACTGAAATTTGAACAATGCCTGTATGGTCCTAATTCCTCTCTCTTTGGATGGATATATATGTGTGTATACATATATATTTATGATACCCCCTGCATATTAAAATGCTGAGTTGGGAATGTTATTATAAGCAGGAAATTATGACTTGAATACTTCCTTCTGCTTTCTATAGAATCACAGGTTCTGTTGAAGTAGAAAATAATCAAGCATCAGGGGGATGGAGAAATTGAGTCAGGCAAACTCTGTTCCAAATGAATTGTGAACAAATTTACAACATTTATGAACCATGAAAAGCTAAATGGAATTTAGGATAGTGTTTGAATGGACCTTTGCCACTGTCACAAGCTTATGTTAGATCAGGTCGGACTTTTGTGCTATCCAGATTTTCTAAAAACAGTTTCCAAAATAATTTATAATATATCCTTAGAGTACTTTAAAGTTCCTAATAATGAAGTGATTGCATTATTTTGAGTGAGAAACTTAATTATGAATGATAATTCCCTAAAACATAGGATAATAAATTTAGAGCTCAAAGTGACCCCATAGGTTTTCTCCAGAGGGGTCAAACTCATGGCCTACAGTGCTGCTGAGTGCAGTCAGGACCAGATTAAAATGCAATTGGGAGATATTTCACCAACAAATAAAAACACAATAAAGCATACACAATGTTAATATGTGGTTTTCTAAGTCTATGTGCATCCCACAGGGATTCTCATGTACAGTTTAGTGGTCCCCATTTCTACTTGAGTTTGAAGCCCTGATCTAATCCAGTGCCCTTATTTTATGGATAAAGAAACTGAAGAAAGTAAGGTGACTAATAAGTAGTAAGCTGAGATTTAAAGCTAGTTCCTTTGACTCCTCTCCTGATCCAGCATGCTTTCCATGCTGATTATTACTTGCATAGCTCAAAAGGCATGCAAGAAATAGTGCTAAACAATCCCTTTCGTTTGAATTAGTGTATGATTTTAGAGCTCTGTAGAGAAGCCTAAAAAAAAACCAGTAGCAGCCAGGACCAGATCTGCTGAGCTGGCACTCCAGTGCCTTTGACAGTCAGCAGTGCAGCACCAACAGCTGGTGAGACAGCACTGACTCTGTGACTAAAGAGGATGCTTTTTCATTAACTACAGAAATTGCACTATTCTTCATAAGTTGGCCACTCATAAGTTGGCCACTCTCGTATGATAAGTGACAGGACAGTATCATATCCTAAATTCTTTTCTTGTAAATGTTGGACTTACTGTGATGGAATGGTAAAGTGTACTTTCTTATACATTGGCTATTGGTGTGTGAAACCAACCCCTCCTCCTACTGTCCACATAACTAGTGATGATAGATTCATTGTAAAGAATGTGAAAAGATCCTAATTTTTTTTTTGTCTTCAGCATCTAATGGAAATTCAGGGCCATTTGTAACTACATTTTTTTTTCCAAAAGAAACCACAGTTTTAAGTAGCTCTTTTATAGTCCCTTATACATGTTTGTGTTGATGTTTGTGATTAACAAACATGTGCTGTTAACTTTTTACATATACATACAAAAATGAGTGAGGGATGAACGAGAAACGTTGTTCATGTCCTTTGGGTTTATATACTTTTAAGAAGTTTGATGCCCTAATCAATTAACCAACCATTTTCACATTGTGACTCAGGAAGCATTAATGAAGTACTTACTATTTCCCAAGCATTATGCTAGGCACTGAGAATAAAAATCCCAAAGTGAGATAGTCCCTGCCCTCAGAGAGCTGACATTCCATGGTGGAGGTCTGACTGGGGGGGCAGGGAGGGGAGGGGCACGGAGTGAGGTGGAATGCAGTATGTTCACAGACCAATTAGTGAAGATATTTACAAAATAGATACCAAGTGATGCATTAGGTTAGGAGACACCACAAACAGAATCAAGAAAGGCTTTTTGAAGGAGATGCCCTTGAGCAGAGACTTGAAGGGAGCTAGAAGCCATGGGGTAATCAGCCTAGAGCTGGCAGGTGAGAAGGGGAGAGTAGTCAGGGCATGGGAAGAGTGAGGGAGGCTATTCATAGGTACAGAAGTGAGAATCATGTAAGTGTCATATAAAAAGAACAGGAAAGGCATGCAGCTTGGCTAGAGTATAGAGTAAGTGAGGGAGGGTAATCAATCAAACCTATAATCAATCATCTTAGAAAGATAGGCTGGAGCCAGTTTGGGAAAAGCTTTACTAACAAGTAGAAAAGGTTGTGTTTTATCACAGTGGGGCCAGGAGCGCTCCTTGAGCAGAGTAGTGACATGGTCCAGCCTATGCTTTAGAAATATCAACAGAACAGCTTTGTGAAGGATGGAATGACTGGACTGGAGAACCAGAAAGCTGGTTTGTCCAAATTAGAGGTGATAGCGACCTAAGTTATCCTAGCTGCTATATGAGAGAGAAGGCACTGGATGTGAGAAATATTCAAGAAACAGAATCAATAATACCTGACAGTAATGCCTTGGATATGGGGGAAAGGAGGATAAGTGAAAGTGAAGAGTTGGATGACTAGAAGAGTAGTGGCACCCTAAACAGAACCAAAGAAATTAATTAGGAGAAATAGGTATAAAGAAGGGGAGAATGATTTCTTTTTAAGAGGTAGTGAGTTTGAGGTGCCTGTGGAACACTTGGTAGTTGGAGATGCCTGACTAGAGCTCAGGAGAAAGATGAGAGGTAGATATGGAGATCTGAGAGTTGTCAGCATAGGGAAGATTGACTCCATGAGAACTGATGAAATCACTGAGAAGGTGGTGAAAGAAGAGGCCCAGGACAGAGGTTTTCAGGTAAACTGACACACTGGGGATAGAACTCAGAGATAATTGTGCAAAGGAAACTCAGAAGGATCCATCCTGCAGGTATGACTAGAACCAACATAGACCACCATCCTGAGAAAAAAGTATTTGTCATAAGGACGTGGTGGTCAGCTGTGTCAGTGTCAGTTTTTCTTATCTCTAGTTTCCATGGACAAAGTTAGTGGACAAATAATTCCCCCATAATTCTAAACTTCATCCTAGCTAGAATTTTTAACCTAACTAAATACTTTTATATGGATTTTTAACAATTAGCAAAGTGAATGGGGGTTAAACTGCCTTTCTCTTCTGCTATCCCACCTCCTCAGTCTTGCTAACTTCAGGATAACAAAGTATCTCAAAGACTGATTGCTTTTATTTTGCCTCCTTTTTTTTTTTGACAAAGGACAATTATCTCCTACTTGGTTAATCATCTCTTTAAAAACTGGGAGTTGGCCACAAGAAGCATAATTTATATTGCGTGTTTTATTGCTGTTTCTTGTCTGCTCTAATACCACTTTAAATGTCATTCTTGAAAAAAAAAAAGGTGAGCTTTTTTTTTAATTTTAAGGACATTTTTTAAAATGTTTAAATAGAAGTTTAAAAATACTGACAAGACCCTAAAGTATGTAATCAAACATATTCCTAATGGCTTGGAACCACTAAATAAGATAACTTAACTTTAGCTGGAAAGCATGAATCTGGCAAGGGTTAAATATTTTAAATGATGAAATAAAACTAAACTGGATGTTTTGTGTAGCCATTTTGCCTATTCTCTTGATATTCCCAGTAAATTCTCTTCTTTTTTTTTTCTGGGCTCCCTCTGGTGTGCAGTCAAAGCAATCCACTTGCAATAAAGACTAATTTGCCCCTCCTTGGCAGTTCTGGCCAGCAAGATGGCTTGAAGTTGGCATGGCTATGCTATCTCAGTTACACTGAAATTAAACTTGCATACCAACTCAGCATGAATAAATATACTAAGTGGAGCATTAAATCACTATTTCCTGTAGCATCTGTAGTATATCCATTACAAGGAAATCGATAGGATCATGTAATAAATGAAGTTGAATGTAAATCAGGACATTTTCCTAGGAAAGCAAATTAAAAGTAATCTTATGTTAGGGAGTGTAGTAATCTCATCTTAAAATGTATACTATAGGCTTCCAGATACCCTCCATACACTGTGACATATAAGTGTTTTCAAAAAACTGAATTCAGCAGTCAATAAAACTTCGTCATTCTGATCCCTCAAAGTCATTATCTCTGAATCTCTATCAGGCATGATTATAATCCCTGTGTCTTCTCCCTTTCTGCCTTGGAGAATAGACTTTGTTCTGGGTTTTGTGTTTTTTTTTCTTTTTTTTCTGTGATTGTTAAATGAACTATAAATAACACTTCTTTTATATCCTATGGATGTGTCTACAAAAGGTACGACATAATTAAGATGCAAAACTGCACCTTATGAAATACTTGTAGTGCCGGCAACTTCTTGAAGAGCTAACGAAGAACTTCTTTTGTAAGAATCCCTAACCTTTTATGTGTCATAGATCCTCTGGCATTCTGGTGAAGCCTGTGGACCCCTTCTCAGAATAATGTTTTTAAATACATATAAAATAAAATGCACAAGATTAGAAAGGCAACCAATTATGCTGAACTGCAGATAACAATTTTTTTAATTAGGTTAAGAGCCCCTGCTCTGTTATAAAATATAATAACATTATTATTCTGGTTATATGCTAGCATCCAAATTCCTCATGACTTTATTTTTTAAATAAGTTTTTATTAGTATCTTCTGTTTCTTACATCATCATGGTTATCCCAAGTATCCCTCTCCTTCCCCTCTCAGAAAACTGTCCCATATAATAAGTAGCATTTTTTGAGAGCAGAAAAAAATCAGCACAGCTGATCAATATGTTAAAAGGGTCCAAAAACATAAACAATTTGTAACAGCTGGGGACCCACAAAGGGTTTCTTTATCCATAAAATAAGGGCATTGGATTAGATCAGGGCTTCAAACTCAAATAGAAATGGGGATCACTAAACTGTACATGAGAATCCCTGTGGGATGCATATTGGCTTAGAAAACCACATATTAGCATTGTGTATGCTTTATTGTATTTTTATTTGTTGGTGAAATATTTCCCAATTGCATTTTAATCTCGTCCTGACTGCACTCAGCAGCATTGTGGGCCATGAGTTTGATAGCTCTGGAGAAGACCTAGGAGGTCACTTTCAGCTCTAAATTTAATGTCCTATGTTTTAGGAAATTATCATTCATAATTAAGTTTGTTTCTCAAAGTAATGCAATCACTTCATTAGTAGGAACTTTAAAGTACTCTAAGGATATATTAAATTATTTTGGAAAGAGTGTTTTTAGAAAATCTGGATAGCACAAAAGTCTGACCTGATCTAAGCATAAGCTTGTGACAGTGGCAAAGGTCCATTCAAACACTATCCTAAATTCCATTTAGCTTTTCATGGTTCATAAATGTTGTACATTTGTTCATAATGCATTTGGAACAGGGTTTGCCTGACTCAATTTCTCCATCCTCCTGCTGCTTGATTATTTTCTACTCCAACAGAACCTGTGATCCTATAGAAAGCAGAAGGAGGTATCCAAGTCATAATTTCTGCTTATAATAACATTCCCAACTCAGCATTTTAATATATGGGGGTATCATAAATATATATGTATACACATGTACATACCCACCCAAAGAGAGAGGAATTAGGACCATATAGTCATTATTCGTGTAATTTTGTTACATTTGCTTTTTATTTTTTGGTGTACAGTTGCTTTTTCTGTTTACATTGTTGTAATTATTGTGTGTATTGCTTGCTTCATTCTGAATCATTTCATATAGATCTTTCCCTGCTTCTCTGTATTCATCTCACACATCATTTCTTACAGCACAGTAATATCCTATTATGTTCATGTATCACAATTTGTTTAGCCATTCTCCAGTCAATGGGCATCTGCTTTGTTTCTAATTCTTAACTATCATAAAAGGTGCTGCTATAAATATCTTTGTGTTTATGGGGACATTCTTCTTATTGATGGCTTCATAGGGGCATAAGCGCAATAATAGAGTCTCTGGTTCAAAGAGTGTGGACATTGTAAGTCACTTTTTAATTCCGAATTGCTTTCCAAAATGGTTCTACCATTTCAAAACTCCACCTACCAGGAATTAGTATGCCTGTCATTCCATGGCCCCTCCAGTAGTTATTAACTGTTGCCTTTTTTGGTCAAGGGGTGAGGTAAAACCTTAGGGTTGTTTTGATTTGCATTTCTCTTATTAGTGCTTTGGAGCATTCTTTCCTGTGGTTATGAAAACTTTGCAATTCTTCTTGATTCCTTGTGTCTCAATGTGTCAGATAGTTTTATCTGATTAATGTAGTGGTAGCCTGCTTTTGGAAAGAAGTAGTTTTAAGACAATAAATCTTCCATGAATTACTTTTTTTCTGAAGATGTTTTAATTCTGTCACCAAGTTGTTATTGATATTGTTTTACATTTTCTCGAATTTCATTTAAGTCCTTAAGCTTTTGATAGCTTGTTTATGATAACTCAGCAAAGAGAATATTTGTAATTTTTTTTTTTGCAATTCAATTGGTAGTAGAAGCATGGAAATGGAAGTTATCTAAGATGTTTTTTCAAATATTTAAATAAAATCTTCAGTCAGAATGATGATGCTTATATTTTCAGATGTTCTGCCTTATAATCTTAACCTTCAAATTTTTTTTTATTAGAAAATATATTGCTATTGTCTCACATGAACAACGCCAGAATTATAAAGATGACTTCAATGCAGAGTATGATGAATATAGAACTTTGCATGCTAGGATGGAGACTGTTGCTAGAAGGTTTATTAAACTTGATGCACAACGTAAGCGCCTTTCTCCAGGCTCCAAGGAGTATCAGGTAATAAATGGGTGGACTTGACCTCATGAGCATGACTAAACTTTTCTGTCCCCATCCCCCATCTCTAACCAAACAGTGCAAACCCACTATCAGAGAACCTTGGCCCTTTTGCAGTGCACAGAGAGTGGCCAATCATTCTGTTCCCAAGTACCACTATGTGATATTTGACTTAATCTAAAATTAGAGAGGCAATATGTAATTCAAAGAGCTCTTTAATGGGAAAATTATTACTGATAGAGATGTTGAATTTCATCCCATGAGTAGAAGCAATGTGTCCTTTTTGGAGGTATATTAACTTTTTGAACCTGTAATGTTTAGGACCATGAGAGAAGTACCACTTTGGCATGGGTAAAAATGAGGACTTATCTCTTAGAGCATGCATAGTAGGTAAGCTCTATGCCCAGAGCCTGTGGTGCTTGAAGAAAACATTACCTATTAGGAATTCCTTTTTTGCATTTGTCACCCAAAAGAAAATTTTAAATTGTCAAAACTCTTGTGAACACATATAACAATATTAAAAGTTTGCCACTATGTCTGTTTTAACCTTTCCCACATTCTAATTTAATTGCTCAAATATTCATTTGGGTTCTAACTCTTAACTTCCTCTCTTACTCTATGCTGAGGGGAATATCTGAGTAATGCCACATCAGAAATTTGCTCATGTGGTGAAAGCATGTGTGTCAAATTGGTGTTGATGGTACGCTCATGACTACATTTGTTTCTTTTCCTCGCTAACTAGTGTTTTTCAGATATGAGTTTATTACATAATTTTATTAAATGTTCCTCCTCATTTTCTCACTTTGCTTACCAGCCAATTCTAGTAAAGTGGGAAATGGCTTTCTAATTGGCCTTCTTAACTCAAGTCTCTCCTCTATCCTTTACATGAATCTTTTTTTTTTTTAGTTAGGCAGTGAGGTTAAGTGACTTGCCCAGGGTCACACAGCTAGTAAGTGTTATGTGTCTGAAGCCAGATTTGAACTCAGGTTCTCCTGAATCCAGAGCCGGTGCTCTATCCACTGCGCCACCTAGCTGCCCCTACATGAATCTTAATGCACTGATCAGACAGTGTCGTTAGTGTGCTTAAAAAAAAAACTGTAACTAACAATTGCAGTATAAAGGTCTTCTCTTAGCATTCAAGGTCCTCCACAATCTGTCACTCCTCTACCTCTCTTAGCATTTATCTCACACTGTTCCATTTCACTTACTCAATGTGCTAGCCAAGTTGGACTGCCTCATTTTCATCCTGATCTCTCCTGTCTTCTTGCCTTTCTGCATGCCATCACCCCATAGATGAAATGCATCCACCATTCCCATTTTGTTCTTTTTGAAAAAGTCCCTTACTTCATAATCCAAGTCAGTCATCAATTATTAAGCCTTTCCTGATCTCCCTATAACAGAAAGTCCTCGATTTCTCATAGCACTATGTCTGGATTCTCTTCCTTTGCACTTCCTTGTATTCTTCCTTGTATAATATTTTGCATGTCTCATTCTCCTTCCCATTATATGGTAAACTCCTTATTGGAAGTACTGTGCCTTTGCATCCTCAGTACCTGGTATGTTAGCTTGCACATTGTAGGCATTTAATAAACATTTGTTTACTAACTACTGAGACTCATGTATGTTAGCACTTTATATATTATATCCTTATTATATCCTTAAAAATATGTGGAATCACTTTACCCTCATTTCAACCTCATTGAAATAAAAATTTAGTGAACACTCATGACAATATATAATTAAAACTATGATGATATATAAGCAAATAGCATAAATGTGTTACCCCAACTTCAGATTTAACCTTCCCAGCCTTTGTTCAAGCTACCCGAGTCATTGAGCTCTAACTTTTATTTCAAGTGATAACTGCTATCACACTTAGGGAACCTAGAACATAAGTATTTGAAGTGTTTTCCAACCCTTTGGCTAATCCTAGTTCATAAAAGGAGGATCAAGCTAGCTGACATCCTTCCTCCCTAAGTGAGGCAGATTGCATTTGCTCTGTTGTGTGGCCATAAAATGCATATAAAATCCTGACAAAATGGAATAGATGAGAATAAGCAGAGATCAGTATAAATATATCCTCCCTATCCCACTATGGAAGAACAACCTGAAGGTTCATGCCCTAGAGATTCATTACGTGATAGATTTAACAGGGTTTAATCTTTTTATATACACTTTATGGAGTTGCACCATTTTTACAAGATTACTCAGTGAGTTGGGGTGTAAGCAATGGATTTGTTATTTCTTTCTGCATTAGTAAGTAGCAGACTTCATAATGAAATTCACTTCCTATCAATGAGATTAATTTTTCATTCTTCCTGAAGAATTCTGCCTTCTGTTCTCATTTCAAACCTTTTGTTTTGTAGACTATTCATGAAGAAGTCTTAGAAGAATATAAGAAGATCAATCAGGTAGGAACAGTCAGTATTTTGTTTTTTCTTCTGTAGTAGAAAGTACTATCTTTGTTTCTAAAACCTCCGTTTTTTTCCCTTCTACAGTCTAGTCCCAATTACCATGAAGAAAAATACAGATGTGAATATCTTCATAACAAGTTGGCTCACATCAAAAGACTCATAGGTGAATTCGACCAACAGCAAGCAGGGTCCTGGCACTAGACCCCTGCTTAGACCAGAAGATGTGAATAAACTTAAGCTTATTTATTTAAAATTCCAAATGAGTTGCTCTAAGATTCTAAAAAGTTGAAACTTTGCCAGTTGAAAGTTTCAGTATTAGCAAACTTTGAGTTACTTTTTTTATTATTATTTTTTATTTTATTTTGCTTCCCTACATATTTGAAGCTGCTTTTTCTGGTCCCTTTTTCCCCCTCAAGACTTAGTTTGTCCATGGAGATCACTTTTAGATATTGGGGGTCCAGTGTCTGTACTTAAAGGTTGTGCACATTTTCAAAGAAATAACAATGTAGCAAGTTGAGATGCTTTTGGATAAATATAGGCCTGGTTTTTTTTAACCTTTATTAATGCGAACTCTTTGCCTTAATTGGTAGAAAGTTTAGAAATTTGCACAAAATACAAAAAAAAAGTTAAAACATTGTTTTGGAGGGTTAAGAAATAGAAAGGTGTGTGTATATGTATGTATAAATTATATGCAGCCTGACTTGATCTCAAACAGTAATTTATCCCTACAAGTTAAACCCCCCCCCCATTGCAATGGTTGCCTTAAGGTGTTTGCTTGTTGTATACATAGTGTGGCTAATCCTTAGCTACGCTGCTTCCCATTTTATTAAAGTGATGGAGAAGCACATCGTGGCCTACCAGCGTCTGTAAGAGTGTGCTTGTACTTAATGTATGTGTGCAGAGGTTGTGTGGATGTGAGCATGCATGAAGAAAAAAAGCTGCTACTCTTAGTAGGCCAAAACGCTCAGGTTAAAACAACTGACGAGTGTTACTGTAGGTTTTTTCCTATAAAATTGCTACTTCTATTGTGGAAGACAAAAGCATTTCCATTTCAACAGTTTGTCAGCTTTATTAATGTTGGGGAAAATCGATGTTATGAAAAGACTGATCTATAGTTTTGGGGCAAAATTATAAAAATTAAACATGTAGGTGACCTATTTATATACTGCTATAAAGTATTTTTTTGAAGAGAGATATGCAAAGAAGCTATTGCCTACATGAAATGTATATTTAAAGATTTTTTTTTCTCCTGGGTGACAGGAATATAACAAAGAACAGATATATTTAACTATAAAATACTGTGATTCATCAAACAGCACAAACTTTCATTTCATGCAGTTTATCTGTTTACTTTGATTTAAACTATCGCTTGTTTTATCATGTGGGAACATAAGTTATTTGGTCAAGCATGTAAGGATTTTGAACGAACGTTGGCTTAAATTGTGTTGTCTTACCGTATTGTCTTTTCAAAGTGCTGCCAATTGAAAAGGGAAGCATTATGTTTACAAATCTGATTTTTGGAATGTTTGCCAAATTTTTGGTAGTGTCTTTAATAAATGTCTCCAGCATCCAAAAAAAAAAAACTAACCAAATTTGTTGTGTATCACTGTAAACCAGAATATGTTTGGTGTCTAGGATACACGAGGTACTGTATCATCATCCAGTAGTCAGGAATGGGAGGGGAAACTTTCTCTCCAACATCCTTCCAGAATATTCACCAAAAAGATTAGGTCGTTTGAGAGAATGTGCAAAGCCTCAATAAGTCTGCCTTTGACTTCAGCTCTTTTTCAGTCCTATTACTATGTAGAGTAGAAATCATGGTACTCTTGGTGCTCTTTCTCTTACCTCATAATTGATACAATCACTATTAGATCTTAATATGTTTCCAAATTTTAAAACAATATATACACAAACCAAGGGGAATTTATTCAGGGATAAGGTGGAATTTTATCTTTATACATATTATGATTTCATCAATGTATCTAAAGCATTTTATCTATAAATAGCGCAGTTCATCCCAGAAGGGATTCATTGGTTTAACTACTTGGATGATGACGAATTGGTAGGCTAACAAAAAAGTATTGGCTTTAAGACAAGAAATATATGCTTCTAAAGGCTTGGGAACAACTCCAAATCTTCAAGTCTGTAAGTCATAGTATTTTAGAGCTGGAAGGGACCCTACAGATCATCTTTCAGTTAAAATGTAAGTTTAAATAACAGAAGAAGAGAGAAAAGACTACCTATGTATGTCTGCCCATCATCGTGTTCCAGTCACTTCTCTTCTAGTTGTGATGTAAGAGTCCATCTATGATTGTTTCCATGCCAATTCCTGTTGAAATATATGTTTACAAATAAGACTCTCCTTGTAGCCAAAATTTTATCCTCCTTAAAACTAACTACCACAAACATGTAAGCACATCTTCTGGTTTACAGGTTGGGTAATTACTTTAGCTGGAGATCACATTTATAGTCCAGCATTGCACATCCTTAGGCTTCACCACCTACTGTAAAAGCCTTAATGTAGATGGCATCCTTTGCATTGGGCATATCCTTGCAAAATGTATGTCCATCTATTGATTGCAAAATGTAGTTCTTTAAATCTACATATCTGCTCTTACTCTAGTCTACATCTCTGTTGAATAAGTGTATGAACTTATCAAAGTGATATTTTTTAACGATATTAATCTCTCACTGCGAGATTTATAGATTCTCTCAAATGAAAGCCAAATGAAACTTTTCAGGTGATGATGATGGTGCAGGTTCAGTTCCACTACTCTCTGTATACAGTTTGATTCATTTGAGAGAAACAGTAGTAGTAAAATAGCATCAGTCAAGGTTGTCATATGTCTTTTGCTGCAGTTAGTCTAAATCAGTTGGAAGCACTCGCTAAGAGTTTCTCTTCTTTAATTAGCTCTTATGAAATGGAATGAACAGTTGATTTAAATCAAACCAAAATGATACTAAGTAGTTTTATAAAAGCAAAAATAAACCACAAATTTTTTTTCCTTCATTTTGTTGGTTTTCTGTTTCTCAAGTGATAAACTAGGAAGAGGGATCAACCTTTTGAGTAGACATAGTCAGTCCTGATTCTTGCAGAGTAGCTGGTTGAAACAAGTTTAGGTCATTGCTGGCTACTTTTATTTTTAAAAAATTCAGTGTTAATTTCTGTATATCTCTAAATCATCTTATAATCTTTACACGAATTTCCTTTTCCCTTGACATATTTAACTATTATGTAAAGCAAAGGCAGATTCACAAGTTAAAAGCAAGGTTCTGAAATTAGATTTAAACAATTGATCCATCATTTGATGTACTGTAACTTGATAGTTCTACTCATTCCATCCTTATTTTTAAAACTTTACTGAGACATTTTAGCCGGTTCATTGCCTTTCTGGCAGTGTTGACTCACCACATATGTTTGGCATATGCCTTCACTACTTTTGAAGTTGTTAACAACTAGCTATCTGCCTAAGTGTTACTAAATCCTTTCCTTTCACATACCTAATTGGAAAGAGTTAATATAGCCAGCACTGTGAAAGAAACATTTTTGGGGAAGAATATTAAACTGACACTACTAAAGGAAAACAACAGGGAATGTTTGCAAAGCGTTTTGTAACATGAAGACTAAATAAACAAGGCTGTGAGGCTCCTTTCTGAATTTTTTGAAGTGTTTAAAAAAATACATACCCACATTATTTCTCGGTTCCATACAACCCATATTAGGACTCTCAAAAGTAAAATGCCACAGGGGCATTTTGTTAAGCTAATGAACACTTGAGCCATTGTTGCCCCCACTGTTCTACACCAATTTTAGTTCAATAAAACAGATGTTAACTTTGCAATCCTGTAGTTTTTCTTGTCTCTTTTCAAAATATTTAAATTTTTTTTAAAAATCTTTGTATATCTGTTATAAAGGCACACAAAGATATTCCTGGTAAGATATTTGGGTAATGTAGACTAGAATTGTTTACTGTAAACATCCATACAAGTGTGACATTCATTGAGGAGGGGATATTTCTCCAGCTAAGGTAAATTTGTGAATTGTTGAGCATGCAGAATTAGGTTCAGAAAATGGCAGTTTTCAATTCTGAGGAGATAAAGGTGGCATGGTAGGTAGGATGGTGGACATGGAGTCAAGAAGGCATGAGTTCAAAATCCTGTCTTAGACGTTCACTAGCTTAGGGATGGGGAACCTGTGGCCTTGAGGCCATATGCAGCCCTCTGGCTCCTCACGTTCAGCCCTTTGGCTGAATCCAAACTTCACAGAACAAACCCCCTTAATAAAAAGGGGGGTGTGAAGTTTGGATTCAGTCAAAGAGCACACTTTGGGGACCAAGAGGGCTACATGTGGCCTTGAGGTTTCCCACCCCTGCACTAGCTATATAATTCTGGGCACAATTTTCTCAGCTGTCAAATGAGGGAGATTTGGACTCAGTAGGCTCCAAGGGTTTTCCAGCTTTAACTCTGATTCTATGATTTTAAGTTTCTTAGGACATTTCTGAATCATTGGCTCCAATGTGGTGGGCAAGATGAGCCATAAAATGCTCAAGTAAAATATGAGTTGTCAAGAAGAGTTAGAATAATAGCATGAGAAATAGGCAGTGGGGGATAATCTTAATTGATTTATCAGAGGAGTACAGAAAATAAAGTTGAAAATAAGCAAAAAAGACTTGCTTCTTAAGAATACATTCATAAGTTCCTAAGCAAGAATATTTAACGTTTTTTGTGTCATGGAACTCTTTGGCAGTCTGGAAAAACCCACAGATGGGTACCTTCTCAGAATAATGTTTTAAAGTGCACAAATTAAAATACACAGGATTACAAAAGGAACCAATCATGTTGAAGTACAGTTGTTATCAAAATATCTTTTTTTAAAAGTTCATAGACCCAAGGTTAGGAACTTTGGCTCTAAAAATGTGTTTTTTAGGGCATCCACTATTTTCACAAATAAGAGTTAATACTGGAATAGCAGTATGTTTGGAAAAGCAAAGTGTGAAATCCAGTAGGCATTAGTGCCATAGTAATTTTCCTAAATTCATAGTGGATAAATCCACTATGGATGATTTCTGGAAAGACATGGATGAAATGTTCAACACTCAAATATTTACTCAGTGCCTTCTGTATACCAGGCACTGTGTTAGGTGCTAGGAATATAAATACAAAAAAAAAATGAACTAATCTCTACTCTCAAGGAGCTTACATATAAGGAAACTCTATAAAGACAGCAAAAACAAAAGCAGGTAAGTACAAAGTAGTTTGGGGAGGAGGGCACTGGCAGCTGAGGGATCAGGAAAGGCTTTGCATAGAAAGTCATGCTTGATCCGTGTCTAGAAGGAAGAGGGGGATTCTATGAGGCAGAAATGAGAAGAGGTGGTTTGCAGGTATGGGAAATGACTAGTGCTCGAAGGCAAGGAGACAGGAGATGGGAGTGTCATATGAAATGGACCAGGAGAAGGCCAGTTTGGCTGGATGGCAGTATAGGAGGTAGAGTAATGTGCAATATGGCTGAATGGATAGGTTGGAGTCTGATTGTGAAGGGCTTTAAAAAGTAAATAATGGGAGTTCTTTGGGTTTTTTTTTTACCCCTAAAGTCAGTAATTGAGAGCCATTGAAGTTTGAGTTGAAGTCTTGAACCAAGATGGTAGCTGTATAAGTACAGAAAAGGGTCAGTTCAAAGATGTGGAAGTGAAAAAAGCAAGATCTGGAAACTGATTGGATATATGGGATGAAAGAGTGAACAATTGAGGCTAGTGTTGAGGAGACTAAGCTGAGAAACTGAAAGAGTGCTGATGCCTTTGGCAGAAATAAAATTTGGAAGAAAGGTGGGTTTCAGAAGGGGAATGAATTTTGGTTTGAATATGTTGAGTTTGAAAGTCAGGAAGTTGGAGTCGGAAAGACCTGAGTTCAAATCCAGCCTCAGACACTAGCTCTGTGACCCAGAATAAGACCATTTAACCTCTCTGCCTTGGTTTCCTTAACTGTAAAATGGGGATAATAATAGTACCTACCTCCCAGGGCTGTTGCAAGGATCAAATGAGATAATGTTTTGTAAAGTACTTAGCACAATGCTTTATACACTTAATAGATGCTTGTTTCTTCCCTCTCCCCCTCCCTCTCCATAGGAACTAATGAGGCCTCTAAGAAAGAAGGGAAGAGAAGAAGATCCAGGACAGGCCTCTGGAGAGAATACTCACAGTTAGGGGGCATGATCAGGATGATGAGCCAGCAAAGAAGATGCAGAAGGGGAGGTTGGACAAGTAGAAAGAAAACCTGGAGAGGGGAGTGTGACAAAAGCTTTAAGAGTATCCAGGATGAGAGGATGATCAGTGGTAACAAATCCAGGAGATGGTCAACAAGCTATGTTAGGTGCCTGTTATGTACCAAGTACTGTGGTTGAGGATGAAGGTCTGAGATCATCAGATTTGATCATTAGGTCATTGAGAGACAGCTGGGTGGTTCAGTAGATAGAGCACTGGCCCTGGAGTCAGGAGGACATGAGTTCAAATCTAGCCTCCAATCCTTAATAGCTATGTGACCCTGAGCAAGTCACTTAACCCTAATTGCCTCCCTCCTCCCCCACAAAAAAAAAAACATCGGTGCCTTTGGAGAGAGCACTTTCAGTTAACTGATGAGGTTAGAAGCCAGACTGCCAAGAGTTAAATGAAAATGGGAAGTGAGGACATGGGCCAGCCAGAGTATCATTTTTCTAGGAGTTTGGCTGAGGAGAGGAGAGACAGTTTGAGGGATTAGTAGGGCCTAGTGAAGGTTATTTAATGAGGGAAGAGATCGCTGTGTGTTTGCTGGCAGGGAAGGCAGTAGTGGATGAGGAGAAGTTGAAGATTAGCCAGGGAGTAATCGACAGATAAAAATCTAATCACATCACATCACAAGATGTAATCAAGGACAGATGTAGAGGCTGTGGTAGAGAGAAGGGCCACTTCATTAAAAGACTGGAAATAGGAGAGGGTGAGGGATAATGTCAAGGAGTTTTGAGATGAAAAACGGGGGAGAAGAGGACAATCACATTGAATAATCTCAATTTCTCATTAAAGTAAGAAGCAAGATCATCTACTGGGGTGCAGGGAGGGACAGGAAACATAAGGAGAGAAGAGGTTTAGAATGGCTTCTATGGGGAATAAGATGAGGAGTCAATTAGAGGATACTGTAAAAGGATTGCCATGTTGCAGTGAGTGCCCAGTTCAAACTGGTTAGCATGAATTTATAATGTGCCCAGTCAGCATGGTCGATGGGAAGAAGATTAGTTAAACAAGTAAACTGAATTGGTAAAGTACTTCTGTGCTGTATTTATGCAGTGGTTCAGGTGACAGATGAGTCTGGCCATAAAGAATTTCAACCATGGAACTTATGTATCAGATGTGTACATCTGATGAAGCAACGTTCTGGGAGGAGGAAGCTGTGGATTGGGTCTTCATCCTTGGAATGCTTTCTAGCTCTGACCAGTCTATTTAACTTATCCGTCTCCTAAAAATAAAAATAATGCCTACCTCGCTGGACAATTGGAAAGATTATTGTTTGGAAAGCACAGTGGATGAAAGGTATTTTAAGTCCAAACCATGTGCTTAGAGTGTGGAAGATAAGAGTCTTAACAATCTATTGGCCATCAGTTTCAAGGTGAGGAATCCTGTGATGAATCAGTTTTAAATGAAATACAAAGGTGACAAAGGTAGGGAGAGGCTTAATGTTTTGGGGTGGAGTGTTTGGGGGTTTGTTTTATTAAAGGTTGGGGCCTATACTTACCTGTTCTACAGGTTTAAGCTAGCCAGGAAAGTAGGGAGGGCAGGTAGGTAGTCAGTAGCCCTGACACAAGGTTATTGCCAAATGTATGGTTGGGGTCAAATACTTCTGTCATATATGATTTATTTAATGAATGGGGAATGAGGACTGAGACCATGAGCATGAACTATTTGCATTTCTTGCCCAGATGATTCAGCTGAGCTGCCCATAACCTTGTGTATTTGCTGTAGTTGAATCCTTGGTACAATGTAACCA